CTCTAAAAATTGACCCTATTGATTCCCCATAAATATGCACCTGTTCGGTTTTACTTTTTATAACTCGCAAACCTCAAACCTCTTAACTGCCGCATTCCGACAGAAAAAATAGTACTTCGCAGCATAGCATTGCGCTGGAGGAAACCGTGAATTATTTATGAACAATACTGGCGGCGTATTCAAATCCAAGATGGCTTCTCACAGATTCACGACGTTTCCGCGGCATGGATTAAAGAAATGAGAATGGGAGAGAGATTTGGACGTGGGTAATAGATAAATGAAATAAATAAATTTTACCAGAGAAGATTCTGTACCATATTTAAATGAAGGGGGTATGTGAATGATATTATATGCCAATAAGAAAACTCGTCGACATTTACCGTTTTACTGATTTAGTTTTACTTATTATTTTTTTATTGCTTATACTAGTTTAGTTTAGTTAAACCGGTTCCAAAACCGGAAAATTATGGAATTCAAAAACCGGTTTTTTAGTGAAAAAAGTCGGTTTTTACTGTATAAATGAAAAATGACAAATATAGCCAAATATAAAAGATAGATGAAAGCGTTTTGATTCTTGAAATCATATCGGTTCAATAATCGGTTAGAGCGTGGACTAGCACCAACTAGTTCCAGGTTCGCTGGATCGATTCTAAGCTTTCCACTTGACATGTCAAATTTTCCACTTGAGGTTATAGATCTCAAATATAGCCTCAAGTGAAAATCGCCTCTCGTGGGTATAGTTGCATCTATAAATAGTCAACAATACTTCGAGTATAGAAAATTAGTCAAACCTGGACTGGACACTACTGGGTTGCCATCCATTCATATAATAAAAATGTCAAAACAATTACTCAATGTCTCCAAGTGTGACAGATTGTAATTAAAATATAGAAAAAAAAATGGTTCAATAGCATTTGATATCTTATCAATCTGCAATGGTTCCCTGAAAGGTTTTGTATATATTTAAATTTTCATACCAGTGTATATATTAATTTAAAACAGTGTAACTTATTCTTGAAGAAGTAACTTCCTCTACTCAAACTTAAAAAAAAATGTTTTAAACGCTAGAAGCCACAAATAAAAGAACAACAAACTTAGAATTATTATATCAGGCTTTAAAAACAATTAAGCATAATTTGGTCGCAAGTATGAGAGTATTTTCTATTCCAGAAAATTTTGTGAGTGAACGAAGGACACGTCTAAGTAGCAATTCCAATAGACGTTCTCTGTTGAAATCATATTTTATTAAACAAAAATAATTAGAATGTTTAAAATTATTTCATTAAAATTGCTCGGAACAGACAATACTTGAGTTTAGCTTAATTGTTTTTAAAACAAAAATTGATATTAACAAGTATTTATCAACATGTTTCTAATATTTTTTATTTTTTTTTTTTATTTAATGAATGTTTTTTTATTTAAAACTACATTATTTTTATTTATTCGAGAACTTTCTTTTCACTATCATAAAAATATTTTTATTCTTATATGTGAAAATGATGCATGAATAACGAATAATTATTTTCAACGTTATTTAATCAAGATAAATTATTATTTTTCAGTTCTCCTAATTAAAATTAAATTAATTTTGTTTACTATCCATAATATTGAACAAATCACACTAAATTTGCGAATAAATTATAGAATATTCGAGCAAACATTTATTTTCTATATGAAATTCGAATACCGGCTAAAACCCGTTTTTTAGTAAAATTAATATTCAAAAACCGGTTTTCTGAAATGTCGGTTTTTGTATAAACCCTAGTTCGCACTAGGAAACACTAGTCACTTTTCATCCCATGCAGTAATTTTATCCTTTATCATTTGAAAATATATATCAACAATGTGTTTGCATTTTGAAATGACTCTCCTGAGTATTGCTGTGAAAAACCATCAACAAATATAATCACCACTAAAGTGCCAACCCTTATATTACATTCTAAGAAATAATTTAAAACAACAACTTAATGTTGTTCTAAAATCCAGATCCTAGTTTATACGACAAAAAAATCACCACGATAAAGTATATCCTTTACTCAGTCTAGTTTCCGCGTTCAAAGTCCATCCCGAACTGTTAGATATCGGAAGGTTCTCGGTCCTGTTGGTTTCACATTCAAGGCATTCTGACTCGGCCTGATAAAATATTTAAAAATTGATCTCTGGGCAATGTTAGACCACCCCTTGCTCTTCCTTAAAGCACGCCCTTCGCTCGAGTTTTCGCGAACGAACACCTGACTTTCACAACCCAAAGAGTTGGTTGGTCGGACGGCTGTTACGAGACTCACAGATGTGGCACTGACATTTGTTTTATACATTTCGGTGAAAGAATAGAATTTCGTGTGAAATAACCCAATGTAGGTTCGGGAGAACAATACGATTTGGGGAAACGAGAGGTGAAACAGAGTATTATGTTGTTGTATACACACTAAACAGTAATGTATCATCACAGTGATTAAAAATAGATGGTGCTGACATAAGAGTTTTTCAAAATAAGCAGAAAATGTTCAATCTAATGCTTTAGCTTATTTCTTCAACGTCCAATAACTGGATTGACATTCGATTCATACATTCCAAGCACTACCAAAAATTTGCTAATGTTCCTGTAATTAATGATTCCAAAAATGCTACTTCTATGCCTTGTCACAAAAACAAGAAACCTGGAGAAAACAATAAATGTTCAAGTACGTCGTAAATTTTCTAAATATTTGTCTAGGAATTTAAACAACGCAATAGATGTATTTTACAAAAACGTGTTACTAAGCAATTGTTCCATTTTTTTCATATTTGAGTTGTTATTTGAACTTTGCAGTTTCAATGTTAGATAAGTTAATCCGAACTCTTGAATTTGTTTTAGAATATTAATACAAATAACTACTAATTTTAGATAACAAATAATAAACTGTACTAATCTTGCTAATAACTGGAAAAATCAATTAAATCAGAACATTGACAATAGAAAACAAAGTTTCAAGTGCGGGATATCAAGTGTTAATTAGTTGTAAAATGTTCAACAAGCACTTGACAATATCCTGACTCATTTCATTGGTTAAATAAGACGCGTTCGAATTATATCT